AGAATCAGAAAAATCTGCCAGCCAGCCAGCCAGAACTTCTCTGCATCCCACCAGCACTTCATTTCTTCATTTTCTGGTGCAGGGATTTCTGGTCTGGATTTTTGGGTCTCCCATTTCTGGAGCTCCAATCTTTTGTGTACATTAATTCATTCTTCCTTCTATAAAACAACATCCAAGTTTTGTTTATCAAGTTTTGACATTTGGGATTGGATAATTTTCTCACCTTCCAATTTTGTGCTGCATTTTTTTTTATAGGGAAAGAGAGAGTTTTTCCTTCCCCATTTCCTGGATTTTGATATTTTGTGGAATTTGGGTATGTGGGTAGGGATCAAATGCTTATAGATATGTGAATTCAGGTTACTTTTTTGGGATGAAAAAGGGATACCCAGATTGAGAATTTGTGGAGAAATGATGGATTGAGGAGGGAAACTCTTGGTTTCCCAGAAAATGCAGGTAACCTATTTGATTAAAGCTCTCACTCAAACAATTTGCGGAAAGGGGTGATTATTTTGGAAGAAATAGAAAACAGGGGATTTGGGGAGTTGATAAAATTATGGGCTGTCTTTGCTCGAAAGCAACATCGGAAGAGGGAAAGGTGGAGCAATCTGAGACAGTAGAACGCCCGTTGAAGGATTATTCGGTTCAGTTGATTGCTCCTACTCCCTCATTGAGAGATGACTTTGTCACAGAAGTAGGTGGTGGTGGTGATGGGGCTGAGGTATCAGTGCGCAGGTCATCAAGAACAGCCTCAAAAGCAAATGTGGGGAACAATGGTAGTAAGAATGAAGACCATCAAAGAGGGGCAACACTGGGTTTAGGAGCAAGTGGAAGGCAAACGGTGATGTCTAGGATAGTGAGCATGCCGCATGGGGCACAAGGAGAACAAACTGCTGCTGGATGGCCATCATGGCTAACTTCTGTTGCTGGAGATGCCATCAAAGGGTGGGTGCCTCGACGGGCAGACTCCTTTGAAAAGTTAGACAAAGTTAGTTCTAATTGTTGCTTCCCTACTGCCTCTTATTAGTGCTTTAAATGCTTGCATCAATTCTCTCTTTGTCTTGTCGTTTCCCTATAGAGTTTTGGTATTTCTAGTTAATGAATTTTGAAATGTGCTTTTGCCTAAATCTGAAACAGTAATTCTGTCATTGACCCAAAAAAGAAACGGTAATTCTGTCATGATATTTACAGAAAGCTGCATCTATCATGTTCGGGAGATAGTACTAAGTTGAATTCTTATGCTCTGATTCGTGCATTATTAATTACTTTTAAATGGATATCAGTTTCGCGCGAAGTTAAGATAGAATAGTATCATGTGCATGTTTTGGATTTGTGGATTTTACATTTGATATGAAAAACGGTAGACTCAAATTGACGCTATATGTACTTGGTAGCTATGTAATTTATTGTGTTAGATGGGGTTTGTAGGTGCACTCTAGACAAGAGTGTTTGTCTTAGGGTGAAGTATTTTAAACATCAATTGATGCTTTCTTTGCAGATTGGACAAGGAACTTATAGTAGTGTATACAAGGCTCGCGACCTGGAAACTGGTAAAATCGTTGCATTGAAGAAAGTAAGATTCGTAAATATGGACCCAGAAAGTGTTCGTTTTATGGCAAGAGAAATCTATATATTACGTAGACTTGATCACCCAAATGTTATGAAGCTCGAGGGTCTAGTCACTTCAAGAATGTCATGCAGCTTATACCTTGTCTTCGAGTATATGGAGCATGACCTTGCTGGTCTAGCGGCAACACGTGGCATCAAGTTTACTGAACCGCAGGTACTCTCTCTTCGAGTATATGGATCCCTTTCTCTTGTACCATTCTCCAGTTTCTGTTTATTTCTTTTTTGAGAAATTACTTGTTGGCTGCAAAAAACGAATAAGTATTTCAAGAATTACTAATGTTTGAATTTTGTGCTTCTAATATCTGGTTTGTACGTTCTATTTTCTTCCATTGAAATCATAGTTTTATATCTTAATTTCTATAAATTTTGAGCTAAAGTGTACTTGTTGCACTGCAACCAAATATTCTGTGATAATAACTTGTGTGTTTGAATTGCAGATAAAATGTTATATGCAACAACTGCTTCGCGGACTTGAATACTGTCATAGTCGAGGTGTACTGCACCGAGATATCAAGGGTTCAAATCTTTTACTTGACAATAATGGAGCTCTCAAGATCGGCGACTTTGGTCTGGCGACCTTTTATGAGCCTGACCAAAACCAGGCATTAACTAGTCGTGTTGTGACTCTGTGGTATAGGGCACCTGAACTTTTACTTGGTTCTACTGAGTATGGAGTTTCTATAGATCTATGGAGCACTGGCTGTATCCTTGCGGAAATGTATGCTGGAAAGCCTATCATGCCCGGCAGAACAGAGGTAAAATTGACAATCTGTAAGATAACTTATTTTTCATTCCTAGTTTCATGAGTTTCCTCATTTTTGCTGTAACTAAGTCACCGCTGGGTCCGATAAGTGCATAATACCGGACATGAATAATTAGTCCTTCCAGAATAAGTTACAAATGAGTCTAATCTTCTAGTTTTATATATTTATTCATACAAATTTTCCATAAGTTTAGTATTAGTTCTAAAATTAAGTCTTCAGTGTTTTGAAAAAATGTTGCTGTTATTCAGGTGGAACAAATGCATAAAATTTTTAAGCTTTGTGGTTCGCCATCTGAGGAATTCTGGAAGAAAACAAAGTTACCCCTTGCAACTAGTTTCAAACCTCAACAACCTTACAAGCGTCGTATTGCTGATACTTTCAAAGACGTCCCTCCTTCAGCTTTGGAGCTTATTGAAAAACTCCTTGCAATAGAACCAGAGACTCGGGGATCGGCTGCTTCCGCGCTTAGTAGTGAGGTAAATTTGAGCTTCTCCTTTTAATACTATAGCCATGTGCCTTCATGATGGTTTCTAATACTATCGACATTCCATGATTTCATTTGCTAATATGGTTCGTGTAAATATTGCTCATGTATCTTTTATCTGGCTCTTTTTATTGCAGTTCTTCAGTACACATCCTCTACCTTGTGATCCCTCAGATCTGCCAAAATATCGTCCGAGCAAAGAGTTTGATGCAAAGCTTCGGGATGAGGAAAAACGGTACTTCTCTAAGAGGCTTTCATTTCTTTGACTCTCTTTCATGTACATATTGAAGAGATATGTACACCAAAGAGAATATTAACAACTCGATTCCTTTTCCATCAGTTTCAATTACGATATTGCACTTGTCCTGATATAAATCCTTCCCTAAAACAGTAAATTGGTATATAGTACGTTCAGAGGTAGGCGTATATTAAACATGTAGTTGAGGCAGGCTGTGATGGGTACTTAGAAATATATAAGTGAATGACATGGTTGCCTATAGCAGAAAATAATATCAGATAAGCTGTAACTAAAGATAAATAACTCCGCAGAATGATCTGAAGCCTAGATTAAAAAATTCATCTTCTTTTCTTAAATTTCAGACGAAAAGCCGATGCAATTAAGGGGCGTGGTCCTGAATCTGTTAGAAGGGGTTCAAGAGATACCAAGGCACCATCGCCAGAATTTAATGCCCAGGGAGAGGTATAAAAACGTATTTGATACATCTACCATTTATTTAATTGTCGATGCTATATATTTGGAGCTTCACTCTTTTGGCTAACATAAACTTAGCAGGGACAGAGAAACCGGAAAACCACAGGTCACAAGTACATGTCACAGCGAGATACTGTCTCCAGCTTTGCAATGGAACCACATGGAGGAGCTAGGTCAAATGGGTACTCTCATTGTAGTACAATGGTACACCCTAGCGCAGTAGGATCGTCATTGAATAAGACAGCAGGTTCTACAAATAGGCCAGAGCTAAGGTCACAGAGATCTCATATGCCTCAAGCTGCAGCAGACTTATTAAGTTCTTCGAGTAAGAAAAAAGAGACTCTGGCTGGCAAAGAATCCAGAACAGTAAGTAACTGTTTTTCGTCACTCACTTCACCTTCTTAAGCTTTTATTCTTTCAAAGTTTTTGGCTAATCATGGATTGTAGAGTTAGCTAATGATCTCTTGATCTTTGCCCCGCTTGTTAAAATAAGTTTAGACACGTTTTTGAGCAATGGAGCATAATTTACGAAAGAATGCACATGCTTTCAGTGATATTGATCACACGCGCTTTTCTTCGTTCCTCTTCTTTTCAGATTCTTTTCTGTTTGTAATATTATGTTCTCGTACGAAAGTAGTCCTGAATAGTGAATAATGAACTAACTTATGTGTATTGTTTCAGGGCTATGTACCTAAGAACAGAATCCATTGCTCTGGACCATTGGTGCCTCCGGGGGGAAATCTTGAGGACATGCTCAAAGAGCACGAAAGACAAATCCAGCAGGCTGTACGTAAAGCACGAGCACGTTGACAAAGGCCAGGACCAATGAAAACCTTTGATGATGACCATTAAAGACATATCTCGGTGATCCTGAACGGTTGATATTCTGCCGCCTCTTCTATAACCATGCTGATCTGCTCAGTGCTCAATAGAAACAGCTGCTTGCACCCGCCAAGTTTGCTAATTAACTACAAAAACCAGCGAGAAATGTCAGCATGGAGGCTTAGCGAAGATGAAGGTGGTCATATGTTCAGAAAGGCGATGCAATGGGGTGGACGATATTCTGGTGTACCGCGTAAATGAGAACCGAGAAGGAGCTTTTGGTTTTTTGTTGGTTGCTGGACAATTTATAGGTTTGGGGCTTTCGCCTTGTACAGTACAGAGGAAGGATGTTGTTTATGTACATTGTAAGATAACAATTTTCTTCTCTGAACGATCATTTTTCTTGTAAGAAGAGAAAACGCTTGACATCATGTTTCGTGCAATAACGCCTTAATCAATCTGTGGTTGTCTCGCGATCGATACCGAGTTTTTTCAATCGCTACTGAACTGAAGACTCAGTAGTAAAGTTCCAAATAATTTGCTGACGAAGAGCCTCTGCAGTGCATATAGAGGATATTTTGCATACAAAAACTATAAATAGCACAACTTTATTGGGTTAAAAAATAAATACAAAGGGAAGGGCGAAAGGAAAAGGAAGAAATGAAACAAGACAAGATGTACTAGTTTGGAAAGCCAGCAAACTTTCTGTACAATTGGCTTAAACATATAAATCGACTGCACGACTCGACTTAGAATCTAGAACTAGGTTTTGTTTAGTGAGCACGAATAGGCTCATAAGCTAAGCTACATATCCTGCCTCGGCTTTCGACTCAATTCAGAATACCGGCCACCCATTTCCTGCAAAATTTCTTCCCACAAACTTTCTTCTGAGGACTCTGATGAAGCCCCAAAAATCAAATTTGAGCTGCAGGCAGCTACATACCAATAATCCGATTCAATCTCCTCTGCCAACTGATCCAGCTGCCACCCAGCATAGCCGACAAAGAATCTGAAATCCTGAGGCTTAAGAATACCCTTCTTTACTAGCGCTGCAGCTTCATCCAGGCTGTTACGAGCACCAAAACAAAGCCCAGGGATCACCTCTTCAAACCCAGGAAGGTTTGACTTGCCCCCGCTTTTTAACAAAAACATGCTTGCCTCAAGAGGCCCACCAAAATGCAACGAACAATCAGAAAATGTGGTTGCAAGATCAAGATTTGTGGGCTTCATGTGTCTAATCTTTTTATGGAGTGGCCTGTTGATAACAACTCCAAATGGTCCCTCTTCTGGATGTCTGCTTCCTGATCTGAGGAGGAGAACAACAGTTCTTTCAAAGGTGCGAACCCCATCAAGCTTTTCTGTGGCAACGAGGACACAGCCTGTCTCTGGAACGGAAATAGGATGAGCCCACTTCAGGCCTAGAGGTTTTGACTGGTGGGGTTCCCCACCTTGGTTCTGAGCATCAGGCTCAGCCTTTTCTTCCTGTTGAAAGATTCCAGAGTAAACTTGACAATTAATGGAGGATCATCATTAGAAATGTTTACATAAGACAATTAGTAAAGGATCATCATTAGAAATGTTTACGATAAGGACGCTAGAATTACTAACATCGTGTGTGGACCAAAAACCTTACAAGGGCACTCATTTGCTCCAGCCATTAGATTTGTTCAATATTGGACTTGAGATGCATATAATCAAAATGAGGAAGAAAACTCGCTCACTATATATGGGCTGAAGCCCTCATAACCAAAAGGCCACAGACCAATACCAGATATGAAGAAGTCTATGGTAGGGTATCAAAACTTCTACAGAGCTGTCTGTCACCATCAACTTTGAGGACTAATAAAAATGAAATACATGAAAGGGAGACAAGACATTTTTGATAAGAATCAAAATTTTTATTAACAAAGAACAAACGAAAAACATGGAAAACTAGTCCAGCAGTACACAACTGTCGAGGAAGCTGGAGATTTGCTTTGTGTGTACTCTTGTCGAGTGATATTTGTGATATGATTGGCCTGTGTGGGTGAGTTTTGGTTTCCATAAAATCAGGGGTATGCGTGAGGGTCGCATGGTGCCTTTGGGTGTTGTTGTTTAATTTTCAACCTAGGAAACCAACTATGTCAGCTCAGTTGGGTCTCATAACCAACCAAACCAACCGATCACCTACAAACTGAAAAGATCAACACTTGAACTAACCCATAACAAGATGATTCAAAATTCAGTAAGTCTTATTATCACCTTGAAAAATAAAAACGATTAACTAAATAAGGGAAGAGTAGTGAAAATATATTGATGAGTATTATATAGAACATGATAATTATGCATTTTAGTTTCAAAGGACATTAGCCCTTCAGGAAAGTAAAACTTTTACCTGCTCCATAGTATATAGCCTTGCTCTGACCTCTCTCCAGTCCGACTTTATCTGACAATTTTTCTGGGATGAAGTGTCATTGAAGTTTTCAGAAGAATCGTTTTCTTGTTCACTATCACCTTCTGGAATAGATCGGTCATCATTTCCTGTAAACCCAATAGAAAAAATTATTTGTGATGCAAGTAGTTATAAGTTGTAACAAATAAAAGAGAGAAATTTACAAGTAAACCACTGGTACCATGCTCAATGAAAGTAAGTAACATGTGAGAACTAAAAACCTACATTCACGTATGCATACAGACATAAAGAAATGATGCGCATAAGTCGTGTACCCACACAGATAGATAGATAACTAAGAACTAACACCTATCATATTTATATTGCTTTTTAGCTTTTTACCGAAAGGTGAATTAAATGGAGGACAAAAGCAAAACTTTTATACCCAAAGTCATTTAAAAAGACAACCCCAATAAAGAATCATTTGAAAAGATAGTCTCAATCACAGCTCTAGCTTCAACAGATTTCTTTTTTCTGAAAAAATCACCATAGCATATGGACCAATGTATCGATTCCTACAATTTCTTCTTCTTATTTCAATTATATATAGCTCCCCTAGCATTGACTATATGAATGCTTTATTCAGTTATCATGAAGGGGTTAAGAATTGACATGTAAGTGTGGAAATCGGTTGCAGTGCTAAAAGACTTCTTCTTTCTATCGTGAAGTGCACACTGACACAATTCCAAAAGGGTATAGGAGAAGAAAACAACTGGATTAACAAAGAAACTATTCATTTAATCATATGTGTAGTGTACTCAAGAGTAAAATAGCAAGAGGTTTGAGTGTAAGTTCAGGGATGAATACTAAACTTGAGTGTAAGTTCAGGGATGAATTCCAAAACTTGAGTGTAAATTTAGGGACGAATTCTGTTTGTACCATACCTCACCAGCCCCTATACTACTGAGCACAAGTCAACTTTACACCTTCAGGGTCTACTGAAGTATTTGTGCTGAGGCACCCCTGCCAAACAGGATCAAACTATCCTCTCAGACACATAGGAGCTGGGTGCACAGATGATTATCCTAGTTTAACCGACTTACCGGCTCAGACCACAAATTTAGGTGCACAGATGATTATCCTAGTTTAGCCGACTTAACAGCTCAGACCACAAATTTATCTTGTCCGTCCAATCCATGTAAAGATTTGCAAGGAACCAACCTAGTCTGATGCCAAAGTGATACCCATATGACCTAGGGACAACCCAGTCCCTCCATCCTACAATGGAGGGGGATATTCTGCTTTCTATGACCGTAGATTCCACATCTACACTCTAGCTCCCCGGTAACCAAACATAACAGAAAATCAAACTTGACAACTTTGAAATTTCAAATGTCAAACGGTATTCATATATCACGGCGATCGCACCCCACATACACAAATCAAAGCAAAACAAAATCAAACACATCAAAATCAAAGAAGTCAAAATTCACAGCGACCAATCAAATGTAAATTGCAATTCAATTTAATTCCAGCTGAGAGAGCAAACCTGACGAAGACGAAGAGTTGGACGAATTGCCCTGATTGTTCTTCTTCCCCATGGCTCTGACAACCGAAGAACGAAACCCATTAGACGAAATCCTGCGCTTCAAATTCAAGACCCCAATCTTGAAATCCTTCCCGTCTTCAACGCCAACCCAGGAAGGCCGCACATGTACAAAATTCCACGAAATGGGTTTCTCAGAAAACGAGTTTCTGAGTAGAAAAGGGCTTCTGCCGATGTTCTTCGCCTGCACGGGCCACAGATCCATGGCAGCCTCGCCGGAAGATGAGTTTTCCAGGAAGAAGAAAATAGGAGTCGGGAGAGTGAATTTACTGTTCTTCTCAACGATGGAAACGATGAGAGAGAGAGAGAGTGTGTGTGGAGGGTGAGAAAATCGATAACGGATATAAGAATTGCAAAACAAACAAAACGGGGAGAGACCAATCAGAAACGAGAGGAGAGAGTTGAGAGCGACGGTGTGAAGCAGAGAATATGCTTTTAGATTAACCCAATTCTGCGTGTGTGAGACGGTGACGGACTTGGGCTGCACAGCCTCTGTGATTTTAGTGTGGCACATTTTAGGCGAATCTGTGAAAAAGTGTCTGCGCGGTGGAGTAGGATTATCTCTTTTCATATTCTCTTCTCGTTCTTTTCTCTCTTTTCACATGTTGCTTTTTGTATTAGTGTTTTTATAAAAAAAAAAATCAATATAAAATATTGACGTGATTTAATCGTAACAGTTCAAATAAGAAATGAAAGAAGAGGAGAGAGTTTAGGGGGAAAAAGAATCCTCCTCACTGCGTGGTGGCGGGCAAACTCACGGGCAGTTGCAATTGCTGCACCATGTCATCTCTTAATGGAGAAAAACTTCATAGCACATTATTGATTATTCCTTTCAACCACTTAAAGGAAAGAAGTTTGAGAGAAATGTGAGAGAGAGATAGAGCGAAAAAAAAAAAGTGAGTATTTTTTTTGTTTTTTTTTTTTAATGTAGAGATGTTATGTTGTGAAACCCCGTCCTTAAATTATTGTATTTTGTATTATCGGATTTATGAAATTACCAAATTGCCGTTGACTGTCTCGTTGTAACACGTATTACTAATTTTCTTAGTTTATTCTTATTTACTCATCGCAACGAACGTGTAGGCGCGAACGGATTTAAATTTGGAATTATAACGAAGATTTTATGTTTTGAAACGACGAACTTTTTTTCGGATATTTCACGTCTCGTCTTTTGTGGCCTTAATGTGTGAGCCATTGGGGCCCACATTAGAGTTTTATCCCCCAATCTCCTTCATTTTCCCCTATGATGCTCTCTTACCTCTCCCCTCTCCCCTCTATTATTTTCTGAAATTTCACTCTCTCTAACTTTCTCTCACTCTTGGGCTGCTCTTTTCTCTCTAAAGAACCAACCCTCCTAGAGGGTTTTCACTCCAGCAAATCACACAACAACAACCTAGACATCACCAACCATCATGCAAGGTACCATTCTCTTCATCTCATTGAGAATTATGATTTTCGTTTTTGAATCACTTGATTTGGTTAAGTATTGAAGAAGTTATAAACGTTTAAAATTTGCCCATAATTCGGCAAGTTCCCCAATTTCACTCGGACCAGCCAACTTTTAGGCCATTTTCTAGCCAACTCTGGGCACCACTTGATCCCCACTTGGTACGAATCTCTTTTTCACATTTCTAACTACACTTTGGCTTTTGAATTACTCAATTTGGATTTTTATCGAGTTCGGAATGGGCTCTTGAAGTTGGGGGAAAAATCTTGGATTTTTCCAGTTTCGAAGGTCGATGTGTGGGCGTTGCCATGGCCAGCTCATAGAGCACACACACCTCCGCTAGAGATGCTGTGCTCCACCGTCGTCCATAGCGGCACCGACGACTTTTCCAGCCAACTTTCCAGCGACAAGTGTGGCGGCGTGTGCGTGGAGAACCCAAGTTCCCACTTTAGGTTTTTCGACGTCCTGAATCCGTTTATGATGTCCGTTTTTCCAAATTCAATCGTTTTAGTATAGTTTTATCAATTGGTCCCTTTATATGCTTAGACGAGTTTGTTAGTGGCATTTCTATCCACCTTAGTTCACATGGCTCTTCAGTGACGGAGTATCTATGGGTGGACCCCTTCCAAAATGCATGATTTTAATTACTAGAAATGCATACATAAAAAGCAAGATTTTATGAAACGTTTATGAGTAAATCAGATTTATGATTTATGAAATATCATGCTTTATCAAATTTATGTTTACAGAGATATTTATGAACAATGGATTTATGATATGATGTTTGAGCTATTAAGTTTTGATGAGATATATTTTGGAAAGATTATGTTCATGATTTTCTGTGCTTACTTAGTGGTTATTCATACTATGTGCCTACGGACGAATGACACTTACATATGGCTTTGGTCGGACGATGTAGTGCCTTCGAGCAAAAGATATTTATTTATGGCTTCGGTCGAGCGATGTAGTGCCTTCGGGTGGAAGATATTTATATATGGCTTCGGTCGGGTGATGTAGTGCCGACAGGCGAATGATACTTATATATGCATTCGGGCGGATGATGTAGGGCCTTCAGACGATTGTGATACCACTACTAAGCACACTTTTTATGACATATGTTTTATGAAAGGTTTTATGGCATGCTAGGGTTTTCGGAAAACTTATTATTTATCATGCTATATGAGTTTTCTAAACTGGGGATTAGTACGTTGAAGAATAACTATTTTAGTATTACTTATATATAAAATTGGTCCACTCATGTTTTGTTTTGCGCCCCCCTTAGGACCTAGGAATGAGGCATACGACCCAAGCTACAAGGCATTCCCATATCAATGAATTTGTTTCATCCTCTCTATGTAGGACATCTCTTGTAATCACACTTTCTAGTTTAAGTTCCGCTTGTATTTTGAATTAGTAGTATGCTCTGAACATGTCATGTTATCACTTTTATTTGGTTAGCAATTGAATATTATTATATTTTCTATTAAGGTTTGTACTTGAATATTACATTGCATAGTTATGCGTGAAATTTATATGCATGTTTCGCATGTTCTCGGCATATGTATTCATTAAATGGCGTGCGTCACCCTCGGGTGTCGGCCAGCACGTGGCTATACCGTTGTCCTTTGGACACCGAGATCGGGGCGTGTCATATGTTGACATGAGAGCGAGGTTTAAAAAAAATAGCAAAATTTGTTATGAAAAATTAATTATTGCCCATAATTGTATTTTGTGATCGAATATCAAGTTGTCTTTTAATCATCTTTTAGTTGACAAAGAATGTTTTGTTAATACTAGGTATTTTAGATAGGTATGGTTACGGTTACCTATATTTATCTATATATCTAACTAGTTAACCTCTCCACACAGTGCGCAAACGTAGTGGTGAAATTGTTGTTAGAAAATGTTAGTATACATTTCTTTAATTGTTCGGGTTTGCTTGTTAGTTTAGGATTTGGGCTAACCCATTGAAATTAGAGTTTTGTTTCCTTATCTATTAGGGATTAGGATTAGTTCTTTAATTATATAATTCACAATGTAGTCTTTTGGTTGTAACCATCTCAGCATATTTGTAGTATTCTCTTTGTTTTAGTTAACCGATTAATATTCAAAGTTTTGTAATGTGTTTGTTCATTCGTTTGTTATGCGTACTCTAATTTAAAACTAATGTGACCCTAAAGTGAGAACATAGCTTTATAACAGTCGAGTTTGTGTTCCTAAGTGTTACTTCACTTTAATTTGTAGATTTACTTGAAGAAAACGAGGGTAGCAGATTTCCCGAAGAAAAAGAGAGCAAACAAGAGGAAGCCAGAAACAAGAGCAAAGAAGACAGTAAAATGAGGATTGCAGATATCTAAGAAAAGGAGTGATACCCATTTGATAGTAGCCACACTCATAGCAACTGTAACATTCACAGCAGGCTTCACCATGCCAGGTGGTTTCATCAGTGAGAGTGCTGCAATTCTGATTAGAACCAAAGCCTTTCAAGCATTCTTTATAACAAATACCTTAGCCTGGGTTTTCTCCAGTTCATCTGTTGCGTGCCACCTCTTTATGGGGCCCCAAGGGAAAGACAGTTTGGTCGACTATGAAATAAAAAGCTTGTATCCATAGAACATCTGGCGTAATATAGATAATGAATAATAGGAGTTAATATCATTCCAATTGCCATTACAAAAGTAATTAATATTTTAGTCGGGATGGGGTCTGTACTTCAAAGGATTAGAGCACGTAGCTACGAACCACAGTGTCGGGTGTTCGAATCCCTCCTCGCCCACAACTGGCCAAAAAGGGAAGGACCTTTCCCTTGGGGGTACGAAAATCTTGATTGGTATAGCGGATCCAAAGCTATGGAATTTGGGCATGGGTCTTTTGTCGAAATGGAATGGCCTTACTTTTTCTTTTTATTTATTTATTATTTATCGTTAATTCGTTAATGGCGAGTTAATTAAGTATAGTATGCCCGGCCCTAATCAGCATATTTTTTTGTTTTACGCCCCTTTTGTTAGAGTTTATGTTAACTTACACCATGCTCGGCATGGTGTTCATGGCAATTGCATTCGTCACTGGCACATATCCAGTTTTACAACATTCATTAGCCTTTGTCAATGCCATTTGTGTCACTGGCTGCCTTTTTTTATTTCCGCTAGTAGTCAGATGTTTCATAGTGAATAGTCTGGATATATAGGTGGATTACCGAGACACTACAAGATATGTATCTGTAGTACAAAAATTTCAAATAATATGAAAAAAAAAAAAAAAATTCATATGCATTAACATTGAAAGTTTGGAGAAATTTTAATCAATTTCTTTGTTAAACCCCAGAAACGATCTGGAGTCTGCGAGAAAATTTTCAGAATTTGATAATAAAATTTATAATATAGGTCGAAGATAACCTCAAAAAGTTATTGATTTACTCCTAACAAACCTAGCTAGAATAATCAAAATAAACAGAAACCTGAAATCTCTCAAATCTTGAAATGACAGTTTGACCTAGAAACTGACATCGCAAAACTTGCAAAATAAAAATGAATAAGTCAGTGTTTTTTTCTTTTCGCTTTGTTGCGCTGCTAGATGGGACATAATGTTGGGCGATCAAAAAACAAAATGTGCAAAAAATGACAGCTGCAGATATGAGAATGCGCTTCATTGGATGTGTGAGCACGCAAGGAAATATAGGATATTTAAGAACAATTATATCTAAGTTAAAGTGTGAGTGACAGTAATTGAAGATAAGATGAAAGAAACTCGGTTAAGATAGTTTGGACACATAAATCAAAGACCTACAGATGCTCTAGTTAGAAGATGTAACTATGAGACGGAGGTTTAGTGCAAAAGGGTAAAAGAAGATCTATAATGATTTTGAAAGAGACTGATCTCGCGGTTGAGTTATACGTCCTCAAATAATAACTAGGCTTCCGAATGTGTAATTTTCTCTTGTATAACTTTCTCTTGTGATTTTCGTGATCCAACGAAATTCAAATTAAGAAGATCCACAGAA